TGGGTTCCCCCCTTGAGCTAAACCATAATAGGTTTGTTTGGGTTTGCTTAGGCATTGTGCGAACCCAGCCGAGTGTATTTTGCTTAATAAACCATGATCACTCTATGGCTTAGCGTGAAGAGTGCGCCTGGCCTAAAAGAGTATCTGCTACGGATTTTAACAAATTTTGTTATATTGCTGTGCCGATATAACAGTCATGAAGACCAGCTCTCTGCTGCTGCGGTGGGTGATGCTAGAATAAACCACGTCGGAGAAAGTGCCCTTGATTGATACGTTGTCACAGCAGCAGCTGGATGATGCAGTGTATTACAAGGGGGAACAAACCTGGAAACCTCGGTAATTAAAACCGAAGCGCTCTGCCAGCCTGGTCCACTCCGATGGAGTGAGAATTAAGGCAGCTCCAAAACTCAGGGCTCCCTAAATGGAGATCGCTCACCCAACCAGTCAGTGAGCGCGCCCACACAGCAACCGGGGTCCTTTGCTGCCTGATTTGGAATATATACCATGGACTCCCCGCAATCCCTGAGCTTCATAACAATTAATAGCCGCTAATTAATTAGCCGCGGAGGGGATCCACTGCCTCGTCTTAAATAGGGTTGGTTCTACAGCCAAAGGACCAGCAAGGGAGCAACCCCTCTTGCTGGGTGCTGCATTTGGCTTCAAACAGTAACAAGACGCTTTCTCTTTCCCTTGCTGATCTTGACAGGTGCCAATTATATATATATATATATGCGCAAATAAGTACCATTTAATAAACACCTAACGTCACCAGGAAGTGGGAACTCATGTTGCTAATTCAGTGATTCATTTCTTTGCAGAAAATGGGGCTAGGGTTTATGCAAGGCTATTTCTCCAAAGATGAAGAGGGTCTCTTTGCCTTTCACTAACTGTGGAAGCATTTGGTTACTCAACATTGCTGGTCTTGATATGTTTAAATTAAAAACCTCCTGCTTTTACTTTGGCAGAGAAAATATCCCACCCTGAATCTCTGATGCCTATGTTCCCTTTACCTTTTCAACAGAGGCTGGTCACAGAACAATTCTGGAAATTGTCAATTTTTGCATGTGTACAGCTTTATACCGCAGGATACATGTCAATCATCAAGGTATTAATTAAACCAAACTAACTTGAGTTCCCCCTAAATTTAGCAAACTAGCCTTATGGAATTCTGGGAGAGGTTTATGTGGAGTTTGGACAGATCCCCCTCTGGGGGGGAAAGCCAGATAGCCTGGGGGTTATGGATTAACCTTAACATCAGAATATCTTGTTTAGAAAGGAACAGCACTGCCCCCAAATTTAAACAAAGCTAAAGTTACTGCAGTTGAATAAAATGACCATTTTTATATTTTACTAGTGCATTCTGCAACGTCCATTATTATAGAAATGGGGTGGGGAGAACTGGTTTGAAATGTCAGAAATCCTGAACTGTAGGGTTACAGGAAGTTTTATTAAATGAAATACAGTATATGTTATAGTCCTTATTTATTCTCCTCCAGAGCATTTCTATACCAGGTTTTTTTCTTAAATCACATGATTAAAAACAACAATTAATACTTCAGTTACAACCCTTTTAAAAACCATGGATAATTTTTTTTTAAGTACACTTGTTTGTTTTAAATCAGATTTTTAAAAACTCAGCTGGCTCCAAAACAAACAACAGATACAACTCAACTCAGCTTATGTAATTCCACAGTTCAAGAGACAATTCCATTTCTTAAAAAGTCTGTTTCCTGAAATCTCATTTTGAAGCCAAGCTGTATGCAAGGGACACCTTCAAAACAGTTCCTTTGTGATGCAAACTAACAAGAATGATATTCATATTTTTGCATGCACTATATATAAAAAAATAAAAAGTCAATCAGCATTGTATTAAAGGACTCTACTGACTTAAAGTTTCCCAAGTGTTTGGAAAAATATATACAATTCTGGTCAACATTATCTAAAATGTTACCCTTTGGTGGAGGAAGAAATTGAGGCTTACATATTCGGCCACGAAAGAATTCCTAAATCATTGGAGTAAGTTTCTAAAGGACTAAATTCCCTTGATCATAGATCAAGAAGAAAGATCTTAACATTGGTGGTAGAGAATCAAAAGCAAAATGGTGCATTTTATGTGCCAAAAGAAAATGAGCAGTAACCTCCAATCTAAAGTGACAAGTAGATAAATACATGTTTCTAGGAAAATCCTGGAAATGGAAAGTATTTTTTCCTTGAAGGGGGATTTAGACCAGAAAGCTAAATAAAAGGAATACATAAATGCAGGGAGTAAAAGAATCTAAATGGTCAGGTGCAGTTATAGGGAGCAGCATGGTATGTCCAACTCAGTTTATTGAAGGCTGGAACTGAGAGCGGTTGAAAACCAAGTCCTGCAAATGAGACCCAACTTAGTGTTGAGACTTAGGCCAGGAAGAACAGGGTTTTAATTCCTGCTCAGCTACAAGCATTAGGTCAAGTGGATGGAAAATCATGAAGCCATAAAATAATTTCAGGGACAAGCTGTCTTGGAACAGCAAATATCCAAGCAGTAGGGATGGGAAGAGACACTGTACACCAGCAAAGGATTCAAACCCCACATCATCCACCTCTAAGCTGCTATTGAATTTTGCCAGCTAGCTCCCTGAGCAACTTCAACCTCTTGTAGCAAGTTATTTATAGAGCACTTCGATCTACCTGGTTGTTTGACATAGCAATACAAACCAGCAAAACAACAGAGCTGTGCCCAGAGGCACGTTCAGTCTAAATGGGGTGGGGAGGAAAGGGACGTTTCCAGGAAGGATATAAACAAATGCGGTTACCGGAAGGTAAGTTTCATCCCAGTGAGGAGGGATGGTCTTGGTCAGAAATAAGTGGCATGTCACATTTAAAAGGTTTGTATCATCATTTGTCTGGGCTGCTCTCTCCAAAACAAAATATATTAAAGATATCCATGGTGTCTTATGCAACCTGACTTGAAAGACTAGCTCACAGAGTCAGCTAGTGGTCAGGCATGTGGTCAGTTGAGGACCAAGTCTCAAAGCAGAGTAGCATCCAGGAACCAAAAGGAGCTAGAGCAGTGTTTTTCAAACTTGGCAACTTTAAGATGTGTGGGCTTCAACTCCCCGAAATCCCCCCCCCGCATTCCGGCTGGGGAATTCTGGGAGTTGAAGTCCACACATCTTAAAGTTGCCAAGTTTGAAAAACACTGAGCTAAAGGCATCCCCCACACCCATATGGCACCCTTCACAGGTTGCAATGCCTATTATCCCCAGCCAGCTAGGTCAATTTATCCCATTCCTCAACCTGATCCATTCCATCAAGACTGGAATAACAGTGTGTACAACACATCAGGTAGTTATTTTTTTTTTAACTTTATTAATTTTACTGCTTCTCCTGCATTTTTGCACCACTTCACCCTTGAAGAGTTCTGAAAGCTTGCACATTATTTTGTCATTGCCCAGCTATCCATTAAACTGCAAAACACTATCTAGTAACCTTTCCCAACCTAGTATTCTCTGGATGAATTGGATTGCTGTGCTCATCATGCTCAAACAGGTTGGATAGCAATATCCTAGTTTCTAGAAGTCATGAGAAGAGAAGCCACTGAGTTTTCCTCCTCCAGCTGCTTGAGCATCTGAGATGCGTTACCAAACAGCTGCTAGTTTTGCGCCCAAGAGGACAGCCTTTCTCCTTGCCCGGATCCATGTGCCACTGCTGCAGCCATGACCCTGTGATGTTTTGATGCCTATCAAATGGACCCCAGGAACAAGAATTTCAGGAGGAGGAGGAGGAGGAGACTATTTCCACCTGCGGATACGGGAGAGGAAAAGAGAGTTGGGGGACTGATGCTTATTCTTTGAAAAAGCTGGTGGGGAGGGGGCAGAAGAGAAATATTCATGGCAAGAAGTTTTTGAATTATGGGCAAGCTATTTCAGGGTCCATTTGATAGCTGATCCAAGCTAAGATCTGTCTCTCTAAATTGTACAACCCAAGGGTGGCATAACATAATGGATTGTATTTTTTCTCTCTCATTGTTAAAGCAATTGCTTTTCTAAAGGGTAGCCTTTTCCAGTTTAAAGTAAGTGTTGTACCATATTGAGTGACTTATTATTTTTCTCTTAACTCAGACTATATTAGAGCCTGCTAGTGATGCAGGGAAGGGACATCCCATATAACTAGACTGCAATCCCATGGACTCCTACTTGCAAATAACAGTAATTGAACTGAAGCATGCTTGCTTCAACTTAAACATGTCTAAAAGTGTGCTGCAAATGAGATGGCAGGCAATGCAGATTTTATACTGGGTAAATGCAAAAAATTATTCCAGTGACATTGGTTGGAGTGGCCTCAAGTATTCGATCCACATTTGATTCACATTCCCTGGCAGGAACTACTGGCCCTTTCATCCTGCCGATGAACAAGGAGAGGCCAAGAAATGGCTGAAACACTTTTTGTGTGCCTTGGAACAGGGAAGTCTCATCCAAATTCGCAACCTGAGGTTCATTTCCGAACCAATAAACTCAGGATAACTTCTAACTTAGAAAAGTGTAATTCATCTCTCTCTCCCTAACTCGTATTCGGTATGTCACCGCACAAGAAAACGAAAAGGAAAGGGTAGCACTTATTCTTTGTTAGTGATGGACATTATTATTGATTTATTCCGCTCCCCTCCCTCCTGTTTTTCCACAACCCCCCCCCCCCAAGGCTTTGAAAGCAGCACATTTTAGTCCACATTCCTTCAGCCCGTTCCGTCCAGGGGAGCTGCCCTATAGCTCCCATCACTCCTGCGGCCACGGACCTGTTGCCTCCAGACAACGGGAGTGGGAGTCCAACCCCTGGCGGACTGAGGAGGGGGCTGTTCTGGACCGCTGTTCAAGGATAACCTTACGAATGTCGGAAACCAGCCATCCGGATAAAGTAACGGAGGTTGCACACACACACCCCCCCGCGAATGGGGAGGGGGCTTCGGCCGCCCCGGGCCTGCTTCCCGCCCCCTTCGCCCAAGCCAACCAGCCTCGCCTTACCCGTCTCCTCCAGCCTCGTCCCATGGCCCAGGGCGCTGGGGGTCTGCTGGTAAGGCGAGTAGGAGGTGCCGTGGTGGTGGTGGTGGTGGTGGTAGAAGGCGTGAGGGCTGCCACCGGCCGCCCCCGGGTAAGAGGGATATGCCAGGGGTCTGCTGCCGTAGGAGGCGGCGGGAGGAGGAAAGACGCCGCCGCCCGCGTGAGGGGGCTGGTGCGGGGGGGGGGGGGGGGGGGGGGGGGGGGGGGGGGGG